AACAGTCCTACACGTCCAAGAAACTCAGCCCTTCTGCAGAACAGTCTAACCTAAATAATAGAAGAGAACAGAGAGGGGAGAAGATGCAGCCTGACAAAGGGGCAGAGTGGATGGAAGAGGTTCTGGTTCTCCTGTGCTTATAAACAGTAAATGCACAAGATGCTGTAAAGAACAAGTGATTTTTAAGGGAGATGGGGAAGATTAACACCGTAGGCTCCAGGTACATTGCACACTGGGCAGGAGGCAGCAAAGAAGACTGTACAAAGAAGCAATGAAGGGCAGAGCAGGAATAATCCCAGGAAGCTGTCTCTAAAAACTGAGTTACAGCTAAATAATTACCCTTACACAGGGCTATTAGCTTTGTGTTTTTAATGTGATTCTAATAGCACTAGAATATTCGTTGGTGGTTCTGCTGTTATTTGACTGGCCGACTCCAAAAGCTGGGAGACCACTGCTCAGCCATGTATCATTTATTTTGGTCCTTGGGGGCAACAGTGGGAGGGCTTCTGGAGTTCTGGCCCCACTGGTGGACCTCCTGATGGCACCTGGGTTTTGGCCACTGTGTGACACAGTGTTAGGCTGGATGGGCCATTGGCCTGATTCAACACGACTTCTCTTGTTCTTATTTATACTACTGGTTACCAGGGTTCCATCTTGTCTCTCATTCTATTTAACATCTTCATGAAACCACTGGGAAAGATCATCAGGAGATTTGGAAGGTGTCACCAGTATGGGGATGACACCCAGCTCTATTTGACTTTAACAGCTGAGTCAGGAGGATTCCCAAAAGTCTTGAACTGGTGCTTGGCACAGTTAATAGGACAGATGAAGACCAAGAAACTGAATGTCAGTCCAGATAAGACTGAGGTGCTGTTAATCAATGACAAAGCTTCTTGAGTTCGTAGCTTGGGGGTGCTGCTGGATCCTGGTCTATGGCTAGAGGCTCAAGTCTCCTTTGTGGCACATAGAGTCTTTTATTAGCTTTGAGTGATATGCCAGCTACGGCTATTCCTCAAAAAGTGGGATCTGGCTATAGTGACCCATGCTCTGAATACTTACATGATACACTGTTGTAATGTAGGCTATATGTAGCTGCCTTTGAAAACAGTCTGGACTTTTCAAAATGTGTCAGTCAAGCTACTGTTGGGGTGGGATACAGGGATTGTTATCACTCCATGCTGGAAAATCTGCACTGGCTGCATATTTGTTTCTGTGCACAATGCAAAGAACATCTTACATCTAAAGTCCTAAATGGCTTAGGACCAGGATACTTGACGGCAGGGGTTGTTTCATAGAAAAAGAGCTAGGGGAACTCATTAGCATAACTCATTAGCATTTGCCACACCCCCTGACATCAGGGGCCCGGCGGTGGTCCTGCAAGGCCGGCTGGAGTGCGAGGAAGCCCCGCCAAGGCCCTCCCTGGCCCCAGGAAGGCAGGGGTGGGGAGAGGCGGGGAGGAAGCAACTTTCCCTCCCTCTTCTCCTGCCTCCTCCTGGCTGAATGAGGGCCGGAAGCGGGGCAGCTGGAAGCAGGGGGCGGGGCTTCGTCATGTGCCCCGCCCCTCACCCGGGGGAACTGCGATCCCCCCCGAATCGACCTCTGCTCGAAGGACCACCACCTTCTCTCACCAGTTAAGCTCTGCTTCATAAACCCTGGTCTTTATGCTCCTGCCTTCAGAGGTGAGACAACTAGCAATCAGACACAGGGCTTTTTCAGTAGTGGCACCTCACCTATAGCACAGCCTCCCCCTTGAAGCTTGCCTGGTGCCTACATTCCTTTCTTTTACGCTCCGGACCAAAACTATACTATTTACCCAGGCTTTTAATTAAGCCATTAATTTTTTTTTTTAACACCCAGTGTGTTTTAGTCTAAAAACTGTTATTTGTTTTAAATTTGTCAATGATCTGTGTTTTCATACTCTAGCTTGGTTTTTAATGCTGAATTTTAACAACTTTTGCCGCTTGATATTTTCATTATGCGTTATTTTATAAGCAGCCTTGGTAGATTCTCTAGAGAGACAGAATAAAAATGTTCTAAGTAAATATGAAGCATTTCCTGCCACCCCTTCTGAAGTCAAAAGGATCCCTTCTGAAAGTCTAACCCCCTCTTCTGAGAAGACTCACAGTAGGCGTCACACAAAATCGGCAACTGAAATAGGTATTTAACATCCCTCAAAGCCACAGTTTTTCTATGGTCACATGTACCCTTGTACACAAAGAGAAAGAGCAGGCAACATCCACTCTTTGGGAACAAAAAGCTACCACTAAAGAATCAATACAGAATTCAAAGCAGGCTTTAACAGTTCAAGACTGTACTGCAGATTCTTATATGCCCCCATCCATTTACTTTAAAACTTCCAGCTTGTTTATGTGTCTAATGGATTAGAAGAATGGCTCAAGTGAATTCCCATGAGGAAGAATGGTCTTAAATGCCATTAATTGATGCAATTACCTAGGCAGGCAATTAATAACACATGCAACCTTAATGAGCAATATCTCACTAAAGAAGTCCATATAAACTCTTGCAAAGAATGGGTATGATGGATAACCCCCCTAGGAAGAAAACGTGGTACTCACATTTTATACTTCTTGGCACTGTACCAAGAAGCATCTAGGAGAAGCACCTCTATGCTTTTATCAGTTCTAAAGATCTTTTCAGCAATAAGGCAGCTACAAGTAGAGGCTCGATCTGGGCACAGAGAAAGCTAACTAGCAACTGAACTATAAAAATGGGCAGGAGGAGGAAGAAGAGATTGGATTTATACCCCACCCTTCACTACCCAAAGGTGTCTCAGAGCGGCTTACAAACTCCTTTCCCTTCCCTTTCCCACAACAGACACCCTGTGAGGTAGGTGGGGCTGAGAGAGCTCTGACAGAAACTGCTCTTTTTTCAAGAACAGCTCTTATCAGAACTACGGCTTGCCCAAGGTCATCCAGCCAGGTGCAAGTGGAGGAGTGGGGAATCAAACCCGGTTCTCCCAGATTACAGTTCATGCACTTAACCACTACACCAAACTCGCTCTCAGTTGGAGGAAACTACGGTACTACCCCAATTTATAACGAGTGATGGTGCATGACTCCAGGAACAGGACTTACACAACTAAGACAAACATATACCGTAATTCTGCAAGGCAGGCATAGGGACCACGGTGGAGTAGGAGTCTTTTGAGACAAAAAGGCACAGAATATCTATCTTCTTACTAAGACTTTGGGGCAGGATTCAACCCTGTTAAAGTGTATCTTTAAAACAGAACCCAGACTCAAATACATTAATACCCACAAACCCACTATTAGCTTAACCTTGACCGCATGCCCCCACCCAGCCAGACTAAACACATTTTGTGCAATATCATTCACAGATACTCTCCTGAAACTTTCTTAGCAGAGCAGACAGTTAACAAAACAGGGGCTCGGCAAAAAGGATAATACAAAGGGGGGGGGCTTTAGAAAGCAGGAAAAAATTGCAATTTCTCTGTTTGCGCTTTCCCTAAAGCTCCCCCCCCTTTACATCATCTCTGCTCCAAAAGGTCAGTTTCAGAAACAATATTTTGGATTGTAACAGAAACCATGTTGGATCAGGCAATGGCCCCTCCAGTCCAACACCCAGTGTCATACAGTGGCCAAAAACACCCAGGGGCCATCAGGAGGTCCACCAGCAGGGCCAGAACTCCAGAAGCCCTCCCACAGTTGCCCCCCAAGCACCAAGAATACAGAACATTACTGCCCCAGACATAATGTTCCATCTATATCTTGTGGCTAATAGCCACTGATGGACCTCTGCTCCATGTGTTTATCCAGTCCCCTCTTGAAGCTGTCTGTGCTTGTAGCCACCACCACCACCACTTCCTGCATCAGTGAATTCCAGCTGTTAATTACCCTTTGGGTGAAGAAGTACTTCCTTTTATCTGTTCTACACCTACGTCTCATTAATTTTATTGAGTGCCCACGAGTTCTTGTATTGTGAGAAAGGGAGAAAAGTACTTTCTCTACATGCTCTATCCCATCCTTCTCTATCATGTCGCCCCCTAACCATCATTTCTCTAAAGAGCTCTAATCTTTCTTCATAAGGAAGGTGTTCCACTTAACCATCATTTCTCTAAAGAGCCCTAATCTTTCTTCATAAGGTGTTCCACCCCTTAATAATTTTCGTTACCCTTTTCTGCACCTTTTCCAATGCCGTAATATCTTTTTTGAGGTGCGCCGCTGACCAGACGTGTGTACAGTATTCCAAATGAGGCCGCACCACAGGTTTACACAGGGGCATTATGATACTGGCTGATGTGTTTTCAATCCCCTTCCTAGTAATCCCCAGCATAGCATTTGCACAATCTGAAAGTCCCAAAATTGCTTTCCTGAAGCAAATGGTTAACATGGGTAGTGTGCAGCAAAAAAAAAAAAAAAGGACACCAGAGATGCATATTAAAAAAAAGAGGGGAATAGAAACATTTCAGCCAACTAGGCTGGACTATTTGAAAGCTACAGCACTTAGGTTTCCATGCCTGCAAATGCTTACAGCGGGTGGGTTGGGGGAGAGATAGAAGCCACTGTCCTAGCAGCAAGAGAACACAGAATCTGTTCACGCCTGGAGTGGAGGTGTCACCGAAGCAACGGCACAGGAGGTGATCCGCATCCCTCTTTGTGGAGAAAGGGACACAGCTTTGAAGGGCAATGCTTGTGTTGTTGCGGGGGGGGGGGGGGGAAGCAGCCATCATTATTCCTCCTCTCCCATCAACTCGCAAATACCCCGCCCATTAAGCCCTGCGGCACCCCACCCCACCACCACCCCCAGCAGAAGCCCAAGGAGAAAGCCACTCTCCCTTCTCCATCCTCTCTCTCTGTCACGTCGAATAATACCCCCTGCCCAAGGGGGGGACCCTTCCCCCCGCCCATTTACCACCTGCTTGGGCTCCCACCCCATCCCTCCCTGGTTCTTCTGCACCCCACTGGACCCCCCCTTCCCCAGGAAGATCTTCAAACCCCCCGATCCGCTGAGGCCCTCACCGCCGCGGTGGGAGATGTGCCGACAACGGAACCGGTGGCGCCTGGGTCGGTGGAGCAAGCCCGGGTACTTGAGCAGGAGCGCCGAGGTGAGGAGGTAGCCGCCCAGCGTGGAGAGGACATAGAGGGCGGTCGACATGGCCCTCCTCCTCCTCCTCTCTGAAGCCGGGAGGACGGCGGGATGCTGAGGGGCGTCAGTCCGGATCGACGACCCGGCTCGGCTTCTCGCGCTCTCGGACTGAGGGAGCCGGAGCGCCTTACACCGACACAACCCCCGACGGACGCCCAGCCCGGCCTCCCCGCCCGACTGCGCAGGCGCCCAGCCACGGAGGACAGGTCGGGAAGGGAGCGCGGGGAAGAGGGCCGGTCGCGAGCGCGCTCGCCGCGCGGATTGGTGGGAGGGCGCCGCGCTCATTGGCTGGCGGGCGCGCGGGCCGGAGAAGCGACTGAAGGGAAGGGGGGTTGTAGTGACGTCAGGAGGCTCCCTGCTGTGGCGGCCGCCCCTCCCCCCTTGCTTCGAAGATAAAACCGTCATAACGGTCCCTTCTCCCTTCCGTCGTTATACCCGGTGCACCGGCCCTGCTTGAAGTAGTCGCTATTCTCTCTTTCTCTCTCTTTCCAGCATTTATTAAACCACACCTTTCTCCTCTGATCAGGGTCACCACAGCAGCTCACGCATTAAAAACAAACATCATAAAACCACACCTTCTCTTAAATACCGAGCCAAGATGGGCACAGAGCTCCAAGGAAATACACGGACGTAGAAACAATCCTTAAAATGTAGGGCAGGAAGAAGGGATCAAGTAGGGTTGCCAGCCTCCAGGTGGAGCCTGAAGATCTCCCGGATTTACACAAATCCGTTCCCCTGGAGAAAATGGCTGCTTTGGAGGGCATCATACCCCTGGTGAGGTCCACTCCATCCCCTCCCTTAGCCCCCACTCTCAAATCTCCAGGAATTTCTCAATTTGGGAGTGGCCTACTGAGGAAATGCCAGATGAAACAAAAGTCTTCACTGGCTGACACAGGTGAGTCCAGGGTTGCCAGCTCAGGGTTGGAAAATACCTGGAGAATTTTGGGGGTGGAGTCTGAGGAGCTCAGGGTCTGGGGAGGAGAGGGATGTCAGTGGCGGTCTAATGCCATGCAGACCACCTTCTGAAGTGGCCATTTTCTCTAGGTGAATGGATCTCTGTCATCCGGGATCCGTTGCAATCCCAGATCTCCAGCTACCACCTGGAGGTTGGCAACCTAAGGTGAGTCTTTGTCACCTTCTCATACTAACATTACAACATAACAGTAAAACAATCTTGGGAACTGGCATCCAAAATCACACACTCCCGTTTCCCAGAGCCTCCTTCAGTGCACCTGGAGTAGCAACACATCATTAGTGTAATTTAGCACACTGGCTGTGTCACAACCAAAAGCTCTGTGGTGCATTTGTGGTGCAGCAGAAGCTCTGGTGTGTCAGAGCTTGCTTTGTGGGAGGTGTTATGTTCTCTTCGTGTGACACACAGAACACTGTCCAGGGAGGAAACCCCATTGTCCTGACCTGAGTCAAATTCTGGGTAGACCTGCTTAGGATTGTTCTTGAGAACTTTTTGAATCACCTTGCTGCTTCAGAGACCCACCCAATGGGAAGGAAAGCAGTTTTAAAATAAATTGCCCATGATGAGCAGTTTTAAAATAAAGGGAAAAGTGTCCCTGAATATGTGCAGTATTGCCCATTTAGTTTTGGGAGGTAGGGCTCTTTTTAAAAAAGGAAAAGTGCCTACAAGAATTGATATAATAATGACCTCCTTTACCTTCCCTTTGATGGCTCATTTTCTAAAAATTATTTTAACTTTTAAAAAATTGGTTTTACATGCTATTCGTTCTATAACACTCCTCTAAAGAACTAAAGAAAGTTATGCTAGATTATACAGGTAAATACAATTATGCTAGATTTTCATCCGCTTTTGCCTCCACACCTGGTTTTTCTCACACCCGAAGGGGCTTCCACTCTCAGGGTAACTCGCCACCACCACCTGACCTTTATACGGAACTGCCCACTGGGGGAGTCAGGACTCCCAACATCCCTTCTAAGTTCTGAGGCCTTGCCTCTGTGTCTCCTATTGCCCAACGCTTGGTCACCATGCCCCTGAAAGAATAGCCACTTGCCAACTGCCTGCCTTCCCCTGGCACACCTTTTAAAACTGCATGTCTGAGACGGTGGAGGTCTATGTGGTACAGAGAACTACTACCAGCACCAAAAGTTATAAAGTATTAAAAAGAAAATATTTACAAGCATACTTTTAAGCAAAGCACCAGACCTGAGCAAGGGATACAAAAGAAATGGGGAAAACGCAAAATCTCTGTCCCTTTCTGTATACATAGGACAGGCTCCTTTTGCTTAGGATGTTACAGATCCCTTGAAGCTTGCTCCAGCTCTTCAGGCAAGCACATGGTCAATGGTTGCCCTGTCTGTGGAGAGGTCTGTGTGCACTCTTGGAAACAGCACCCAAGGAAAAGAGAACTCCTTCCTGTGGCGAGGAGTTATCATATCTATTTCTCCACCCACTGACCAGGTCATGCCAGGTCAAAGAGGTGTTTCCTGGAGATCTCCAAGAATTTCCTTCCTAAGACTATCTAAGATTTTATCCTTCCAAAACTCTGTTCCCTGCTAGGAGGAAGGGGAGATCATGCCCTACCCACTGTCTCTCCTGCCAGATCTATTCACATCTGAATGAACGTGTCTGGAAAGCAATTGCACAGACTTCTCCATCCCATGACTGTTCTCTGCCCAGAGAATTTGTTTTTTAAAACACAATGTTTGCTCATCTCAAACCACCCAGGAGAAAAACTGCATTTCAGAGCCCAAAAGAGGACGGACACCAAAAGCACTAGAAAGAGGACATCTGATAACCCTACTTATTCGGGATGAATTAACTCAGAGGAAAAGAGCAGCAGTATACATGGTGTTTTACTAAAAAGGAGCAGCACGAAATCAATATAGCATAAAAAACTAGCACCCTAGTGTGTATAGAATTAATGTGCAATAATCTTCATTTTCAAGGGGTTTCACTGCAATTCTTGGTATGCCATACAATTTTTTTTAAAAAATCTGTTAACACGGAATGCCCTGACATGGATAGCCCATACTAGCCTGATCTTGTCAGATCTCAGGAGCTAAACAGGGTCAGCCAGATTGGAGACTACCAAGGAAGTTTAGGGTCACCATGCAGAGGCAGGCAATGGCAAACTAGCTCTGAACGTCTCTTGCATTGAAAACCCTACAAGGCTGCGATTTCACAGGGGTGGGGGGGAGAAATTAACCCAGAATAAATCATCCCTGTTATTAATGCTACATGCACACAAGGCCAACTATGATACAAAACCTGGAATAAAGCACAAATGCAAGTGAATGTATTTTTGTGTTTGTTTTTATAGAAGGACCTTTATAACAAGGGATTAAGCAGATCTGTTTATATAACTGCTGCTAAACCATTTTATTGATTGATTGATTGACTTCTAGCCCACCCTCCCTCACAAGCAGGCTCCAGTCAGGTTACAACAATGCAATAAATACATAATCCAGTATCTAAAACTTTACAATTATCAACACACAGTAAATAGCATCAATAAATAACAGTAATGACAATTGATGGCAGCATTAATCACTCCATCTCCATCTGCTCCTGTGCCCCACATGTGTTGCAGGTAAGACGACAACTGATGTTGAAGGGATGGGAAGATGAAGACAGTACAGATTAAATGGAACAGGCAATGCAGAGCATTGCTTTAGCTCGATGCAGTGATTTTTTTTTAAAATGGATCAATGAGGACGTTTTTTCTACAGAAACTGAGAAAATCTCCACCATTGTCTGACAAATGTGGTTTTTATTCCCAGTAAAATTTTGATGTTCTTTCCCCATATTTAAAATTAACTTGCAAGAAAATGGACAGATACCCAAGACAATAAAATTTTACTTGGGGTGAGAGAGCCCCCTAGCAGGCCATATGCACTAACTGCAACTGTGGCAATTTCTTTCACTCAAGGACTTCTACAGGTAAAAGATCAGACGAGAATGGTGGATGACATTCCATAGTATGAAACACATTCTTCTGATGACAGGCAATGCTTCAAATATGTTTTCAGCCTTGTATATCATATTGCTATATGGGGAGTGGGATGTTGCACACACATGCTCCCCCCCCCCATGAATCTCCTAGAGCGCAGATCCGTGTTAATTTTCATGCACAGCCCTGCCTCCAACAAAAAAAGAGTAAGTTTGTAGAAGACAAGAATGAATGAGAGGAGTTAGCATTACACCAGAGCAGGCTGGTCAATTGCAATTTGCCTCTTTACCTGTGGCTTGCAGCAAAGCATTACCTGCTCACAACCAAGCAAAGCATCAAGAATTGAGTCTCTTTCACACTATTTGTCTGTCACAAATAACTAGAACCAAAGTGATACAATGGTTAGAAACTACAACAAAAGGGAAGTCAGATTTGTGAAACTTGCTGGATGACCTACCACACAGGGCTGTTGTGAAGATATGAAGGTCAGGAGAACTTCATATGCCATCTTGAGCTCTTGAAAGAGGGGCGGAGTAAAAATGACAGACACATGGTCTCATTCACAAGGCGGTGGTGAAGACTTCGGTTGATTTATCCCCCTCCCCCAAATCAACAGATGAACCATGTGCAGAGTAATAGAGGGGTAATTGTCATGAACAAAGATCTGATCAAAAAGATTCCTTTAAAAGTTAGGGTTCACACCCTGGTATGTTTGTAAAACAAATTAAGATTAAGATAGTTTAACCTGGGAAAAGTGCTTTTCCCATCATTTCTGAGTAATGCAGCCTACAGACATTTCAAACGGAGAGTGCATGAAGGACAGCTTAAGCACCAACATCGAAAACCACAGCAGCAACCACGGTAGATACTACATTACACTTTGAGCTTAATTTGGGCTCAGCCTAACTCTGGAATTCATTCTCAGCCCCAGGGATGAGCATCGAAATGTAACAAAAAATGCACCTCTAACCATGTACATAATGTATTTTCCTCTCAAAGCTGCGCAATCCCAGATGGTGTCCAAGCATTACAGATTAAACTTTCCAAGGCAAATGATTGGTAGCAATCAGTTCTAGCTGCTCTCCGGAAGGTCAACAATTCCATAGCTGCTATAACCTTGATGGGACATAGCAGTTGTGATTAGTATAACTCTCTGGTTGCCATACTTTACAGAAAACCCTCCTTTTTAAACCTTTGCAATTGGGTTCTTAAGATTAGCGACCTAAAAGGGTCTAATGGTCAGTTTTTAATCTCCTTCACTTCCATCAATTCAAGCAAGGGAGGTCTTAAAAACCTCAATCAGCAGCTGACATGTTCTAAACATGGAATGAAAACATAAGGGCCAAAGTAGGCTTACCAATGTGAATTGTCCTCCTGCCTCTCACCCTCCAAGGGCCAAAAGTTAAAGCTTAGTATCATGGGAACTTCCTCAGCTAGGGATAGAAAAACAGAAGCTGTTGGATCCTGTAGCTTTCCAGGTGGCCCTTAGGCTATTACCAGAAGACCTAGTAGGCAGTTCTATCAAAGGCTTGGTTGAACTTCGAAACAAGAAAGTAACTTAGGTGGTTGGCCTCATACCACCCCTTTTGAAGGAGTGAGCAGTGACTTATGAAAACGCCTACCTTGCCACAAATTTTGTTAGTCTTTAAGGTGCTACTGGACTTTTATCTTTTCTACTGCTACAGACAGACTAACAATGGCTACCCATCTTGATCTACCGCCCTCCCCTTCAGGCATTTGTCCATGGAACCAAACTTGATATAGTAGACACGACAACGAAGCAGCATGGATGGATGTCTACTGCATACATGGAAGAAACAAACATGACCCACAAAAGGCTACCATTCATCTTAGAGCCTACTCTGTGGCAGAAAGAGGCAAAAAGGCATTGTCATCATTGCATCTACTCTGTTTAGAAAGCAATAAGTACCTTCTTACACATAGGACAGGATAACAAGCGGGGAGAAGTCTCAGCAGCGCACTGTGATCTTACTATGAAGCATTGCTGTAGATGAAATTGCTCATTTATTCTAAAGCAAGCTCCATTACTGATACGGTGATAGTGACACCATGGAATCTGACATTTTCTCTCTTGAAAGAATGTGTAGACCACATTTTTGATTCTTTAATTAGACAATACAAACATGAAAAAGTCCATACCACAACTTGCCCATGACCCTCACCCATTCTGACTTATTATTATAGTATTTAGATGAGGGGGAGGGATTTGTTGGATACAGTACATTTCTCCTTGAGAGGCAGCATAGTCTCAATTAGTTTGAAGGAAGTAGTTCTGAGACCATTGGGGGGGAGAAAAAGTCCTGTTTGAATCTCTTTGATTGCTCCAGCTATTGGCTATTTTTGGGTAGGTGCTCGAGGATAGTGGTGATGCAACCTGAGGGTTGGAGGTGGGTTGGATGAAAGCAAACCCATTTCAGTTGGGCTTCTGGCCCAGACTCAACATTGAAATCCCTTGGATAGTTTTGCTGGACAACCTATACTAGGGGAGAGAAAAAGCGATTACTGCTATATACAGTCAGATAGATAGATGATAGATAGAAGCTCTATACAGTCAGTAAAAACAAGACCTGGAGCTGACTGTGGCTCAGATCATGAGCTACTCATTGCAAAATTCAGACTTAAACTCAAGAAAGTTGGGAAAACCACTAGGCCATTCAGGTTTGACCTAGATTACATCCCTTATGAATATACAGTGGAGGTGAAGAATAGGTTTAAGGGACTAGATTTGATAGACAGAGTGCCTGAAGAACTATGTACGGTGGTTCGTGACATTGTACAGGAGGCAGCAATCACCACCATCCCAAAGAAAAAGAAATGCAAGAAAGCAAAGTGGCTGTCGGATGAGGCTTTACAAATAGCAGAGGATAGAAGGAAAGCAAAAGGCAAAAGGTGAAAAGGAAAAATTTACCCAACTGAATGCAGATTTCCAGAGAACAGCAAGGAGGGATAAGGAGGCTTTCCTGAATGAACAATGCAATGTAATAGAGGAAAACAATAGAATGGGAAGGACTAGAGATCTCTTCAAGAAAATTGGAAAAATCAAAGGAACATTCCTTGCAAAGCTGTGACGGTGTTTGAACGTCACCACAAAGCAGAAGACACTGCGCTGGTATAAAGCTATTTACAGTTTTATTTACAGACTAGCAGTAAAGCCCGTTGTGAAAGCAATACAACGAGATCTAGAAAGAGGCTCTGGGGGAGTGCTCTGGCTTTGGGCAAACAGTGTCAATTTGCTGTGGTGACCTCAGCAGGGTATAATGACAGAGTCCACTGTTTTCTCCAGAGGAACTGATCTCTGCTACCTGAAGAGCAGTTGTAATTGTGAGTGATCTGTAGCCCTCACCTGGAGATTGGCAGCAATTGTTACCCAGGACAAAATGGCTGGTTTGGAGGGTGGAGTTGGCAACCCCATCTCCTTGCCAGCTAACCATCAACCTACCATTATCTGCCCCTTTGACTTCAGCTGACTTCTGCCCTCCCTTCTGCAGAGCAGTTGTAATTCTGAGTGCTCTCCAGCCCTCACTTGGAGATTGGCAACAATGGTTCCCTATGTGGGACTGATTGGTTTGGTGGGTGGAGTCTATGGCATTGTACCTGTCTGAGGTCCCACCCCTCCTCAAAACTCACCCTCTTCAGGCTCCATCCCTCAAATCTCCAGGAA